AATAGTGATTGATGTAAAGAATGTGTGGTTAAAAAGTAAGAAGAATTTTTGGGTTTATGTGTAATATTATTTTATTTGGAAAATGTGTGGTTAGAAATGAGTACTGTAGAAAAATGAGAATGAGAATGAGATAAAAAAAGGGTGTCAAACGGGGGCTAAACATTATCTCAATCATTTACTTGACCTCCTCCTCGTTCCTCTCTCTCCGCAAAACGAACTAGGCAAAGAAATTGATAGTTTCTTAACAACACGATACACTAAACACCATCACCTTCACTGCCGGTCTCACCCCCATCGCTGCCTCACCCCTACAACAACAAGAAGAGACCTACAGGGAGGGAGGGGCAGAGAACCCAAGATAGGCTATTGCAGAAGATTTTGTTTGTGTGATTTGACCAAAGCATTTAAGAGAAAAAACAATGTGTGGGTCTAACCTGTCATTTCAGCTACTAAATGCGCCGAATCAAAAATCCTTCTTTCTTTATCTGTTTTTAGTTCTCAAGAAAATGAATAATTTACAGTACTCAAAAAAGAAAAGAACAAAAACTCTAAAAAGAGAGCATTCAGTACAGGCCAATAGCAGCTGAAAAAAAAAAAGCAGCTCGAAAATAAAATCTCTGTCATCTTCGATTTGCGAGCAGACCACCCAGAACCTGTCTCTATCCCTCTCTCTCTATCGCTCACACTGTTTCTCTCTCACTCACACTGTTTATCTCTCATCTTTCTCTTGGCCAACCTCATCCAATTCGTACATACTTATACACACCACACCACGGTCTTCATTTTCAGTCAAGAAATACAAATCCCTTCTTTCTCTTTTCTTAGAATAAAATCTTGTTGTCTCTGACAATTTGTCATTTTAAACTTGACATGTCTGGAGTTTTATTCTCTCTTTTGCATTGCTCTCGTAGATCTTCGAAGAGCTATTTTTTGTCCTGAAGGTATTGGCTCTCTTCTTCTTCTTCAGATACAGAAAGAAAAAGAGAGAGCCTTCAGTTTGGTATTTTGTTCGTTTCTTGGAGATCCCATAGATTTAGTGTTTATCTGATCTACAGTTAACAAACCCTGTCTTGCTTTAATGACCCTTTGGTGAAATTCATTTCTAAAGTTCAAGTTTCTGGAGCTAAATTTTGCTGTTTTTGGAAGTATTGAAGGAAGGAAAAAGTTGTAAGTTACAGGAAATGAAAAGGCTAAATGTTTCCGCAGTCATCAATGCTTAAAATGCATAAAATTCGTGTCTTTGAGGTGAGTTTGTGAGGAAATCAGCGGTTTGCGTGGCAAAAAGGAACAGATTTCACCTTTAATCAAGTAAAAGTTAATAATTAGTCATAAGAAATCAGGGGTTACAGTTTTGTTAATTTACAGCTTCACTGAAGGGTTGTTTTGTTTGTGAAAAAAGAAAAGAGAAAAAGATATGATTTTGTCAGTATGTGTATGATTTCGTATACAAGGCTGTTTAGTTTTCGTTGAGCTATTTTGGCTGTTAGCTTTTTTTTTCAAGGTGCGTGGTAACAAGTGTAGTTCTCAGACATCTAAAGGCCCAAGAATCTCCTGGCTCGATCAAGATCGTCCATTTAGTTTTCTGAGATCACTAGGTAGCGTAAACAAAGATTAGTAAATTAAGAAAACTTGGGGTTCAGTTCAGATAATCTCTGTGGAACCGTAAAAGCTGCCCAAGAGTATTCAAGATTTTCATACTTTTGGTGTGGGTTTGTTTTGGGGGTTTCAGAATTTGAGGTTTGGGGGAAATGGCTATGGTAGCACAGCAACTTAGGGAGAGTAGCAGTGGCAGCATAAACAAGCATCTTGATTCAGGAAAATATGTTCGGTACACGGCAGAGCAGGTGGAGGCCTTGGAAAGGGTATATTCTGAGTGCCCAAAACCGAGTTCTTTGCGCCGCCAGCAACTGATCCGGGAATGCCCAATTCTTTCCAACATTGAGCCCAGACAGATCAAAGTGTGGTTCCAAAACCGCAGGTAAATGAAAAGTTTTTTGCGCATCATTGTTTGATTGTTTTTGTTTACGTGCCTTTAATTTATTGATCTCATTAATGGAATTTAATTTACATTTTTTTTGTAACCATCCTCTTTTGCTAGTCTTGATTAATTAAAATAATAAATTCTTGATTTTCAGATGTCAGTTCGTTAGATTCCTGGTGAATTTGATTATGTTTATGATACAGCTCAGTTTATTTTAGTTCTGATGGAGGCTAGGAAAATTATTGTTTTGTGAATTTAGGTGTCGGGAGAAGCAGAGGAAAGAATCTACCAGACTTCATAGCGTGAATAAAAAACTGAGTGCTATGAACAAGCTGTTGATGGAGGAAAATGATCGCCTTCAGAAGCAGGTATCGCAGCTGGTATGCGAGAATGGATACATGCGCCACCAATTGCAAAGTGTATGTCATTTTCTCGTACTAATTAGTTAACTTGGCTATTTGTTTCTATGTTTTGGATTTGCCCTGTCCATCATTTGTCATCGACTCAACATGAATTCGGAGGTGAAAAGAACGCACATAAGCTACCATTTGCTGAGTGTATGTTGTTTTATTGTACTACTAGTTATATTGGCTATTTGTTTCTATGTTTTGGAGCTCTGCCCTGTCGATGATTTGTTATCGACCTCAGCTTAAATTCCGGTGTAGAAAAGAACCTACATATGCTGCCAATTGTGAAGTTTATGTTGTTTTGTTGCAATAACTAGTTAATGTTGCTATTTGTCTCTATGTTTTGGATCTGCCCTGTCGTTCATTCGTCATTGACCTCAATATAAATATTCCTGGTTTAAAATGAACACAAGCTTCAATTCAACATAATTGGTTTGTTCTTCTTAAAATGGACCATTTTTCCAATTATATGAAATGTTAGGTTAGGCTCTTTAGGCTGAGCCTTTCACAACTTTGATACAAAAGATTGTCTGAGTACTAACGCGACATGATTATATCATATCAGAGAACTAGGATTATGACATTAATTGATTCTAAATTCCACAATGTTTGGTTTTATTGTTAATATTGACATTACATTGTTATTTGCATTTGAGCTATCAAAAGGCAGCTCTCTATTCGGAATCCTTCTAATTGGATTTTTTCTCATGAAACTCTACTGTTTTTAGCTCAATATTCTTCTCTCTTCTCCATGTGCTTCAAACTCTTATCCTAAAGTGGAAATCTCTGCAGGCATCTGCAACAACAACTGATGCAAGTTGCGAGTCTGCAGCAACCACCCCTCGTCATGCTCTCAAAGACACTAACAATCCTGCTGGGTACTTATTCAAATCTGATATTTTTTGCCATATAATTGCATAATTTAAAATGTCAAAATTTTATGTGGACATTGACATTCATTAATATATGTCAATGCTTTTGGCAGACTCCTCTCAATTGCGGAGGAGACTTTGGCAGAGTTCCTATCAAAGGCCACAGGTACTGCTGTCGATTGGGTCCAGATGCCTGGGATGAAGGTTTGTTGTGTCTTGTCTAAATTCTTCTGTTAATTGGATCTTTTTTCTGTTAGCCATAATTATACAGTCTTTCTAATCGCAAGATTAATATGAATGGGTTGTGTGAATTTATTTTTGTTGTTGTCAGCCTGGTCCGGATTCGGTTGGGATCTTTGCCATTTCACAAAGTAGCGGTGGAGTGGCAGCTCGAGCCTGCAGTCTTGTTAGTTTAGAACCTACTAAGGTAAGTTCTCACAACTCTGTTTCTTTTACCCATATGTCTTTATTCCAAGTTTTTATTTATCAGTTCATGGGTGCCTGATCCTATCAAGTGGCGTACAATGGTTGGCTCTCTCGAATTTCAACTCATACGTATTTTTCTTTAAATCTTGCAGATTGCAGAGATCCTTAAAGATCGTTCTTCATGGTTCCGGGACTGTCGGAGCCTTGAAGTTTTCACTATGTTTCCTGCTGGAAATGGAGGAACAATTGAACTTGTGTATACACAGGTGATTTCAACTATTACATTCCTATGATGTTCTGCATTCTGGTTACCATGTGGGAGAAATAAATCATTAAATACTATTGGCAGACATACGCACCAACTACACTGGCTCCTGCTCGTGACTTTTGGACTCTGAGATACACAACCACCTTGGAAAATGGAAGTCTTGTGGTATGCATCTCTTTTCCTCTTAAGATAAACTACCTTGCAATTGTCTTGACTAAGATAAACTATGACTGCATCTGTTCCGCTATTATTCTTGTCTGAAATATCTCGATTTTATTAGAATGGGCTGTTACAACTTTGTGAACCATGACCTTTTTATATTGAGGGTAGTGAAATAAATCTTTCTTTTTTCCTTCATCTTTTTCATTTTTATTCCGTAAAGGTCTGTGAAAGATCTCTTTCTGGTACTGGGGCTGGCCCAAGCGCAGCAGCTTCACAGTTTTTAAGAGCTGAGATGCTTCCATCTGGATATTTAATCCGGCCATGTGAGGGTGGAGGATCTATCATTCATATTGTTGATCACCTGAATCTCAAGGTTAGATGTGCATTAAATGTTATACAGAAGTTTATTTGATGGGCAGAACTTGGTTAGTAACACCACCCCTATTTCCAGGCCTGGAGTGTTCCAGAGGTGCTTCGGCCACTTTATGAATCACCAAACATTATAGCGCAGAAAATGACTATTGCAGTGAGTACGACTCTTTAATTTTCTACGTGGTTGAGGCTTTCTAAAGATCATGCGAAGATTTATTGATTGAGTAGAGTGCTAAGCAAGACCAGAATTTTTTACTGATTTTGCATTTAGTAATGTTGCCTTTCCTTATATTTTACTACCCAAATGCACTATGAAAATCTACCCCTTGACCTTTTTAGTTCCGTTTCAATGCTGCCAAGATGGATAGTGACCTTTTTTTTTTTTGGATTTTTTTACAAAAGGCACTGCGATATATCAGGCAGATAGCTCAGGAGACAAGTGGTGAGATAGCATATGGTCTTGGCCGGCAACCAGCTGTTCTACGCACATTCAGCCAGAGATTAAGCAGGTAATTGCCTCTACATTCTGAGCATATTTTGGTTTGTATCTAGAGACATGTTATGTACATTAATGTATACTATCTTGTATGTAACATAGTATATCTCCTGTGCAGAGGCTTTAATGATGCTATTAACAGCTTCAATGATGATGGCTGGTCATTATTGAACTCTGACGGGGCTGAAGACGTAGTAGTCGCCATCAACTCCTCCAAAAACCTGAGCGCTGGATCAAATAACCTTTCCTTTATTGGAGGCGTTCTTTGTGCAAAAGCATCTATGCTACTTCAGGTGATTTTATGTATAATTTCATGCTGCTTAGCGCTTTGTTCGCTGAAATTACTGACACATGTAACTAAGACTGACTGCTTTGAGAAACCGAGAAAATAAATTGGAAACTTGTGCTCCAGACTTCCAGTTGCTTATAACTTTGACTATTTGCCATAACTATTTTGATAACATGATTTAAATATCGTCCATCTGGAATGGAACGATAAGCTGAAATTCGATATCCAGTTTAATGGGTATGTCCTTCCCTGACAGAATGTTCCTCCAGCAGTACTGGTTCGGGTTCTGAGGGAGCATCGTTCAGAGTGGGCTGATTTTAATGTTGATGCCTTCTCTGCCACTTCTTTAAAAGCGAGCTCGTATGCATATCCAGGGATGAGGCCTACAAGGTTTACTGGAAGCCAAATCATCATGCCACTTGGTAATACAATTGAACATGAAGAGGTATGTACTTGTTCAGTATAAACTGTTGTCTTCAACTCAATGCGATTGGTGGCGAAGTAACCGATGTATGTCTAAATATTATTCTGTGTGGCGCAGCAAACATTTTTATTCACTTCCAAAATATTACGCAATAAACAAAGGGTCTGAGATGAGACTAAATTTTTTGATTGATGTGAAAAGGACTTTAATTTGTTTGCTTTTTAGTTTTGGGGTATTTATTCATCTGGAGTTGCTTTCTCTGGCATTCAGTTGCTCCTCTCATTTTCTTGTTTGATTATAAAAACAGAAATTCCCTTTTGATCTTTATGTTAGTTTTTACTTGAGTCAAGTTCTCATAAATTCTTCCGTCACCAAAAATCTTGTGATAACGGATAATAACAAATATATATGATGAATTTAAATATGTGGCCCTTTTTAACTACTTAACCTTTCACATTAAGTGGTTCAACATGGTATCGAAGCGCACAAAAGGTCTTGTTCAATCTCGCTGCCACCTGTTTAATGAAATTTAGCACGTGGTACGCTTTGAAGTGACTATACGTGAGGAGGCGTGTTGAAGAGAATATTTAAATAATATATGTGTGGCCCTTTCTAATAATTTAAGCTTTGAATCAAGTGACAACAACGAACATCACAGAAAACTTGATGTCATATCTCACCTTTAATTATTGTATTCCAGATGCTTGAAGTGATTCGGCTGGAAGGACACTCTCTTGGCCAAGAAGATGCTTTTATCTCAAGGGACATTCACCTTATACAGGTGCTTTATTCTGTATCTAAATGTCTTTAATTAGACTTTCAAGCAATTACTGACTGCAAAACAGAAGTTTACATGAGTTAATTTTAACTGCAGATGTGCAGCGGGGTTGATGAGAATGCAGTGGGAGCCTGCTCTGAACTTGTTTTTGCTCCAATCGATGAGATGTTTCCTGATGATGCCCTACTGGTGCCCTCTGGTTTTCGCATAATTCCGCTCGATTCAAAACCAGTTGAGTAAATCATTACTCCACATTAACTTCCATTTTTTTCTCTCAAATATTTACCCTGTAGCTTTAGAGGTCTGTGAGAAACTTGGTTATCAGTGAGAATTTAATTCCTTATTTCTTGTCGAGACTCGTAATTTTTCTCTTCCTTATGAGTAAGCTCATAAACCAACCCAAACATGCTCTGGATATAGAGTTTGCAGCTTTGCTAAGCTTAGAAAGTTTAAATATAAGTAACAAATCTGACTTTTAAAATTTATAATTATTTTGTTAGCCAGTTGGAAAATAAGTAAGTTATTTAGTTTCACAAGTAGGTACGACCTATTTTCAAAATATCTTCAACTTTTATTACTTAAAAGTAAGAAATAAGTAAAATATCATGACATGTTCTTGAAAAGAAGTCGTAAAAAAACTTTTCTTTTAAGATACCTAGGCATGATATATTATGTAGTTTGTTATGTTTTAGTTTTTGTTCATTATACTGGATAAATAATGAATTATGTTCAGGGGGACTCGCATGATACATTGACTGCACAAAGAACACTAGATTTGACATCTAGCCTCGAAGTCGGCCCAGAAACAAACCATGGTGCAGGAAATGCGACATCATCTTATAGTGCACGATCGGTATTGACTATTGCCTTCCAATTCCCATTCGAGAGCAATTTACAGGACAATGTTGCTACAATGGCACGTCAGTATGTTCGTAGCGTGATTTCCTCTGTGCAGAGGGTTTCCATGGCCATATCTCCATCGGGATTGACCCCTACACTAGGGTTGAAGCTATCCCCAGGCTCTCCAGAAGCTCTCACGCTAGCTCATTGGATCTGCCAGAGCTATAGGTAAGTTTTGCTAATTTTTCGTTCTTATGGTAGTTGCAAGCTTCTGTCATTTTCTCGCCATGGCAAATCTTGTCAGATCTCCACCATCAAGGTCAAGCATGTTAGTTTGGTTGGATAAATGTAGTGGCTCTGATAGCTTGAGCTTCTAGATGAGGTGGTTCAACTTGGTACTTGAGCTAATCGAGGATCCTCGCTATCATCCAGTTATAAAAATTATGGATGTGTCAGGCATTGGATGAAAAAAATTGAATTTGGTCTGCATGTGGGGACATGTTGAAGACAAATTATAAATAAATTTATAAACATGTTTCCTCTCAATCAAATTTAACAACTTTGAGATGATCCCCGTCAAGAAGAAAAAGTAAAAATTCTTTTGTTGGTTTGATGGAGTGGAGCAGTTATTCTGTTTATTTATCTGAAGCATTTTTTTTGTGCATTTGCAGTTTCCATGTGGGAACCGAATTGGTGAGGGCTGATACTATAGGGGGTGAATCAATATTGAAAACACTATGGCATCACCAAGATGCCATATTGTGCTGCTCTTTGAAGGTATCATGGTTCTAAATTTATTTGCTTATTCTTTTATAATATAATGTTATTTATATCTAACCGTCAGATAATCTATTTAAAGATGCTCACTTTTTTTTTTATGTTCGTGGAGCAGGAGCTGCCAGTTTTCATATTCGCGAATCAGGCTGGGCTCGACATGCTGGAGACTACTCTAGTAGCTTTACAAGATATTACATTAGATAAGATATTTGACGATGCTGGGCGTAAGGCATTGTTTTCCGAATTTGCCAAGATAATGGAACGGGTACTTTATGTTTCTGTCAAAATGGCACTTTCGCATTCAAATTTTTTGGGTTTCCTTGATGCATAGTGAAATATGCTGGCACTACAGTTCTTCGCATTTTCTCCTTTTCCCTTTCTCAGAAAATGGTGTTAACTGACTCTAAAATACGTTTCAGGGATTTGCTTATTTGCCGGGTGGTATATGCATGTCAACAATGGGGCGTCATATCTCGTATGAACAAGCAATCGTGTGGAAAGTCTTTGCAGCTGACGAGAATACACTCCACTGCCTTGCCTTCTCTCTTGTCAACTGGTCTTTTGTCTAAATGTTCATGCTTTCGTAAAATGATATTCTGGCGGGGAGATATGAAAGATTGGAGGAAATTCGGAAGTTTTGTAATTTTTCTTCTTTAATCAAATTTGTTTTATGCTCATTTTTTGAGTCTCCAATGTATGTAAATCTGCTGTTGCTGCTTTAGTCTGGTTTGAGTATTTTTTAGATGGTAGATGGATTATCCCTTCAAGGTTTCTATATGGGATTTTTTTCCCTGTTGAAGATGAATTAATCTGATGTTATTTCTGTTGAAAAATACTGCAAAACAAACGTAATCGAAAACTAGGCAAGTTTCATCTTCACGGGAAATAGTTGTGAAAGATGCAACTCATTGATCTGGATCGTGCTCGTCTAGAAAATTGATTTTGATTTATTAATCGTACATGCTACATAATTATTTGATTAAATATTTTTTATTTATAGATAAAATTAAATATTTTAATTAAATTTTCCAATCACAATTGCTTTAGGTGTAAATTGTATTAAAAAAACTTGTAAGTTTAAGAAAAAAATGTGTTATTGTACATTTACTATTGAAACATAAATATTAAAGAAAAATTATGAAAAAAGTACGTCGTATTTTAACCGTTCAAACAATATTTTAATTTGTATACATATTGGTGTGTGAAAAGTTATGTATTTTGTATTTTACTCCTCCCTTAGTCCTATTTAATTTTTCACACAGATTAAAAAAATTTAGTTAATATAGTTGAAATAATAAATTTTACTATCATTTTTCCTAATATATTCTTACATTAATGTAATCAATATTCAATGTAATTAAATCATGCATGCAATGTTCAAGGTAATTAAACTTTCTTGGTATTAATCATTGTTTAATGCAAAAATCAAGGTAATTAATATTCTAAAGTCATCCAATACAAATACAAATACAAATAAATAAAGAAAAATGAAATTCATCACCAGTGGGGATGCATCCTCAATTTATGTGGATGTAAATGATTGGTTAAATGAAAGGTGAAATTAAATGACTTATTTAATTTCACCTATCATTTAATGCCACATTAACGCTACAAAGACTGGGGATGCATCCCCAGTAGGGATGAATAACATTTCTCATAAATAAATGTCATAGAAGAAGGATTTTTTTAGGAAAATTTATTTTTCCAACTATAATTAAATAATGAAGTAATTTATATTTATAATAACAAAACATATTAAATAAGGGTATATTAGAAAAGTAATATATTAATCAAATAAGAAATGAGTCTATAATTTAGGACAGACAAAAAAAGAAAATATGACTATCTTTATAACGCAGAGGGAGTACAATAAATTAATACATGAATGCCAAATATAGAGCTTTTTAGAAAAGTTCTAGCTTCACAAACTATCTTTTAGTCTGTGACTGCAACCAAACTGCATTTTTATGTAACCTTCTAAAAGTACATTTGGACTCTCAAAAAGCCATCTCAAACACACATCAAGTATCAACCCCTTGTTTGATTTTGACTTTTTCAAAATCATTTTTTCCTAAACTCATTTTAAATTTCACATTCTCCCTCATAAAATAATTTTGCACGTGACTCATTAACTCTTTCTTACTCTTTAAGCACACATTCTTCCCAAAAAATCACTTCCCAAAAAATAAAAATCAAACAATGTCCAAGTTCACAAGTTATTTAAAAATTAACATTTTTTTGAACAGCTCGATTACCAAGTGTAGACTGTTCGATAATCGTATCCGAGGTGCATTTCACAATAGATCCGTGCAGTTGAGAATCATTATTAAACAAACCAAAAGGAAACCTTCGACACATGGAAACAAAATGTTGCATTTACAGTGTTATGAGAGTGCGTGCGTGCGTGAGGAATAAACTTTGAGTTATACACATCATCGAATTCGACCAACACAAGCAGAAGAAATTACATAAATTCACAGAACCTCAGGTAAATCTTACAAACCCAGTCATCTTCTTTCATTGGATCATATATTTTGCTCATCGTCGGGATGCCAAAGACCAATAATTTAACAGAAACGACGGTAATGCACAAAACCAGCTAAGAAAGGCCATAGCTGTAGCAGTCTCAAACTCTGTGCAATGATTCCTATCACATGCACCGAGATCATTGCCGATGAGAACGGTGATCCCAGCAGATGCACAGGCTGCAGCAAATGTAAGGGTAGAAATAACCTGCAACAGTAAATAGATATGTAGTATAACAAGCAAGAACTCCATTTCTTGACAAATCATCTGACATCAAATTGTACATAAGTATGAAGAGAAAGAAGAGTCGAGGCTATGAAAATTAATGACTATTGACAAATTGCAAAAGGTGATTCACGATTTCAACAAAATCAAGAGTTCTGATTCAAAGGGGGTTGAGGCGTTCACGTTGCTAAGCAGAGGACAATTAAATGCAATGGACAAAACCATATGATGGGGGAAGGAAATGTAACTGATCAACTCTTGCATACCTACCACATATCATAACCGTATAAGAGTTGTGTGCACAAGGAAAAAAAAAGACACTCTTAGCTGAGCAAGCATGTGGATCAGTGAATTTGCATGCTTCAGTTCAAGTTTCTAAAAAGTAGGAACAGTGTCAGATAAAATACAAAATGTGATGAGATAAGACAGGTAGAAACAAATAGAGAAATGGAGGGAGTGCAGATTGTAATATCACATACAAATACACAATATACATACTAATAATCCAGGCAGAAATAAAACATGGTAGCAGATACATTTCCAGATCGATTGGCTAGTCCAAGGAAGTTATATGCCAATGAACTTTGTTGAATATTTATATTAATAAACAAAAGTAGAAAATCAATTAATTCTACTTCAACATGATTCCAAACCAAATTGTCAGTACCTCAAATATCAATAATCAACAAGACAAACCCGAATTTGAAGTCTAGTTTAGTCGATGCATAGAAATATATAAAATCAGCAACAAAAATCCAAAAAATGCTTCCATCTTTACATGTTGCACTCAACTAGAACTGCACTCTGTCCTGGAGAGTAAATCCACTTCACTCAAGTTGGCAACAAAGTCAGTCAGATTCTCCTGAATCATTTTTACAAGTCCAGTTGAATGTTTTTAGTTCAAGTTTTTATTAAACATTTCCTGCTAAAATACAAAAATCTCCAATATGGATCTTTTCAAATTTTGGTGTCTTACCAGCTGCACCCCCTTCCTCCCCACCCCCACTCCTGCCCCCAAGAAAAATGGTTGTTTCAGGCTCCACTTCTGAAGGTCGCATAACTTGCATTACTAAGTCTAGTATTTAAGACAGCACCTTAGATGACTAAGACCGGAAAGGTGAACAATAGAAAATCGCAACAGATTCATGAATGACTAAATTATTAATAACCGTATCAATTAACAGATCCAAGAATAGGTATAAAAAATAACCAGACTACTTAAACATAAACTTGGCAAACTTTTCCACCCAAAGTGCGAAAAAAGAAATTATAAGATAAAACCCAGCATGGCAATGAAAGCACTAGGATAGGGAAGTACCATATTGGTGAATAACATGAGTGCCAATGTCGAAATATTTTAGCAGCCACCTCCAGGATTAACACACAAGTCGTAATTTTGCAAAAAGTTTCAAAAAGACTAGTCTGGTACCATACAACAGAAAACTAGTCTAACACCTTGCCAATGGAGTGCTTTGTCAAAAAGAAAAAAAAAATTGTTAGAGCAACCAGTAGACGCTGACTTACCCCATCACCAATAGCAAATAAACTGACAACTTGATAGTTCTGCAGGCGACGTCCTACAAGAAGAGCATATATGTCAACAATTGCTAGGACAAGGCTCCACATGCTCTGCAAACCAGCAGCAGCAACAAGATAGCTGGAAAGGCAAATAATAGGAGTTCAATGCTTGGGTGATTGCAAGAACAACCAGAAGCAAGTTTTTTGTTTAGAAAACAAATGATGCTCAACAGAGAGAAAAGAGAGGCTTCTAATTAAATGTGTAAGATGGAGCAAGTCAGGGGTTTCTACTGTTTGCAACTCAACCATAAGATTTTCCAGACTACATTGGACTATATATATGTTGTCAGCCAAATTGCTAGTTGTTCACTAATTATTATTATTTAGCCTGAACAAGATCTGGGCTTGTTACTTATGTTTCGGAATTATTTGATCCTTAAATCAAGTCTTACCCAAAAATATCTCAAAAGAAAGCAAGAAATGGTTTAGATTCGAGAATTAATTCTCTTGTAGAAAATTAGTATTCCCTCCGTTCTATAAAGATAGTCCTATTTTCTAATTCACAGATTAAGAAAATTTAGTTAATATAGTTGAAATAATAAATTTTACTATCATTTTTCCTAATATACCCATACATTAATGCAATTAATATTCAAGGTAATTAAATTATGCATACAATATTTAAGTTAGTTAAATTATTATTGGTACTAGTCATTGTTTAATGCAAAAATCAACGCAATTAACGTCCCAAAGTCATCCAATACAAATACAAATGCATAAATATCATGGAAGATGAAATGAATTTTTTTTTATTTTTAATTTATTGTTCCAACTACAATTGAAGAATCGAGTAATTTATATTTGTGATAACGAAGCAGATTAAATGGGGGCATATTAGGAAACTAATATGTTAACTACAATCTTAGATAAGAAACTAGACTATAATTTGAGACAAACAAGAAACAAAGCAGGATTATTTTTATGGGATTCAACGTTTACAATTACCAGCAAGAGCTAGGATGAAAACGAAGAAAATCACCGACCACGCGTGCACGGGATTACGATCTTCAGGCAAGAACTCATTGAGAAACCTCAATTTCTCCGAAACCTGGTTTAGCGGTCCTCTAGTTTTCTTTACAATGTAAGAGTCCTCAGTTAAAAGTGTCTGTTGCACCACATCGTTACACCCTCTCCCCAATTCTGTCATCAATTCGGCCCACGCCTTAGCAAACCCCTTAATTTGATCCTGGAAGCTCTCCGATTCCACAGACGACGTCGCTTCGGTTTCCACCGATTCGAACAACGGTGGCTCCGTCGTTGTCGATTCGGGAGTTAAAATTCCGATTCCATCGCCAGTGAATGGTATCCCAGTGTCTTCGACTAGGCTCGCCAACTCCTCTCGCCATGAATTCAATTCTTCCGAACCCTGCATCCTTCACACATCCAGCAGAACATATAATATTTGTATATCCAGTATCCACTAGCAGCAGCTAGTTCTACTCAAGTTGGCAACAAGAATAAAGTAGATTTATAAACATAAAGAGAAGCCCAATCTCAAAGTGGTTTTGCAATTCAACATGCAAGAATTAAGAAGGGGGATTTCAGTATGATAAATGATAATGAAAGATTCGTAAGTATGATCTCAGTGGAAGCGGTGATACGTTAGAGAGAGAGAGAGACA